TGCAGATTAATATTCCACTGTAATACTTATGCACAAGAGTGCCGAGTTAAAGTTGCCATGGGAAACAAGCCTGAATTTCTTCACTTTTCAGCAATTCAAGATCATCCTTAATAAAGGTTTTGGCAGGTGATTTCTAATGCACTGAGCTTAACAGCCACACAAAAACCAGGCAAGAAGAAAGCTGCTATGTGGGGATGTCTAGATAGAACAGGCAGACACGGGCACATCTCCATTATCTGCCTCTGGGTAGGATTGTGACAATCTGTGTTACTGTGTGAACCACCTTCTGCATTCCCATCCTGGCCTTCAGCTAGGATTGCCTTGGTACAAGCTCCACAGAGCACCGCATGAAAAGCAAGTGGAAGATAGATACCTTGCAGTCTGTTTCCCAGCAGGCCAGCAGTTCCTCCATAACCTTCTCCCACAGCAGGCTTGCGATTTCAGGGCCATATGCCTCCTAGAAAGTCCTCTGAGCCTAGGCTGCAGCTCCCAAGGCAGCTTGCCTATTCCCTGATCTACTCACCCTCAGCAGGGAGCTCAGCAGGGACTGCACATCTGTTGCTATGGCCTAAATTTTGTGGAAGTCAACATCCATTCCCATTACAAGGTCAGTCTATAAATCACAGTATCTCAGGAGCAGAGACACATTGTTCAGTTGTTCCTGCCATGGGAATGAGACCATGGGTAGAGCAGTACAGGCAGCGGAAAGACAGCGATCATTGCAGCCACTCCAGCTACACCTGCCCGTGACTGCAAGCCAGAACTGCAAGACGGATGTTCAGGGGAAAACGCCTTTAATGCTCTTTTACACTAGCACTCAAGGAAACACAGCCTGAACCCAATTTAACCTTGTCGTGCACTTGGACTTAATATTACCTTACAGAAAGACTGGTTCCCATTTGTTAATATGCTTTTGCCAATCAGGAAATGGACTATGATCATCCAGATTTGTTTGTACACTTAAAAATAAAGCAGGAGCTGGACATATGCTTATTCATAGTCTCAGTTTACAGTTTTATGTTGAAATGGTGAGTGATGTGCTGTATTTATTAGTATGTCCAGTTTAATTTGACAGTAATTATAATTTAAAATTCCTCCCTCCAAACAATCAGAATGCATGCTAAACAAACTCGAAATATGTAGGATACAACAAAGAAAAATATTAAGATATTTTTGTATTTAAAATGTGCTGTTTAAGAGAACAAGAAAAGTCCGTAAACAACTTATTCTCTGCCTCTGGTCACAACCTCCTTCAGCAATTAGGAGACCTGAACATTTCATATCTTCTTCTTACAAAGAGTTTGGAAGAGGCAAATTTCTAATTCTCAACTGATTATCAAATTTGAGGGAATCTGAGACACTGAAGTCAAGTACCTGAAAAAACTGATATGAAATAAAGCAGCTTCATCATTACCAAAAGCTCATTTAACAGCTTCGCAACTCCCAGGTCCAGCTTCTTTGCCAGGTCAAGGGTACAATACAGTTTTAGACTTCCAGGCAGCAGACACACAAAGCTTGAATTTTATTTTGTTTTCATTTAAGTGGCTTTAATAGATTACAGTAAAAAGATTAACACGCTATGTAGAAGCCTAATTTCAAATTCAGCTTTAAACAGATCAGATTTCTACCTTCAGACTTTTTACATTAAAAAAAAAAATGCTGCTTTCATCCACTCCGCTGAAGTTGAAGGCAAGATACTTGGCTTGCTGACTGAAAGCGGCACACCCATTCACTGCATTAATAAAATAAGGTTACAGGCAGTCAAAGATCTGAGCCTGGGGAGCTCCTTAACACAGTCACTGAAAGCACTGACCACTATAAACACTGGTGTATACAAGGACAAAGGGACAAAAGAGCGAGACTCCCACTTATTAATGCATCTTCTCTTGTGTAGCTAAAGCACTGATGTACCCGGTTCTACAGGCTGACAGCATCTAAAAGCAGCAGGTACTTATAAACTCTTAGCAGACAGTAAAGGAAAAAAAGTCAAGAGCTGAAAAATGAAGCACACTACCACCATCATGGTCTGAGGTCCGACCTCCGCAGAATGACAACTCCCACCTGACCCTACTGGGCTTTGGATCAAATTCCAAATGCACAAGTTAAGCTTTAAAGAGATACAAGAAGCCAGCCATAAACATCCCTTACTGCCAAGCCCTACTGACCTTCTGCTGGCTAACACACTACACAACACAGACTGTGACTCTATCCTTTCAGGTTTTCCCATCTACCCATTCAGAGCAATGTAGTTAACCCCCCCACACACACACCTTCTTTTCTCTCTGGGATGGTCTCATCATTCATAAATATATCCAAGAATCCCATAAAGCTAAGCTGCTTCTTTGTGCATATAAACATGCACTTTGATTTAAGGGTATATCCGTTGAAAGCCATCAGAAGTCAGGACTGCAAGGATGTTACCATGTTAACGTTCCTCTGTGGCTCTAAGGCGGGGAAGATGAAGGACCCTCTATGCCCGATGCAGAAGTGGTAAAGCAAAGGGCAGCAGCCATAAGGCACTCAGTCCATGGTCCCAGCCACTGGAGCCATGAGGCACACAGCTTCCCAGGGAAATACCACTGTCTTTGACCCTCCTTGATCCCCATTACAGAGGCTGTACCACAAGACCTCAGAAAGAGATTGGATAGTGTGAAAAGGAATGGAAATGAAGGAGTCTTCAGGGCTTCCAAACGAGCATGAAGGACTCCCTAGGGATAAAAAGCCAGTGAGGCTGTCAGTTGCAGAGGAGCACAAGTAAATATAGTGGAAGGGGGAAGAAGATGTGGCAGTCACACACCTTAGGTAGATAAAAAGATAGCTCTTTCAACAGTTTCTGATAAGAAGTCAGAACATTTTGAAGAACAGTTAGTGAAAAATGTGAAGTGTGCTGCACTGTGGCAAGTGCACACCACAAGACTTTTAGGCTGTTGGCTAATTTACAGCTATGCCTGACCACTTAAAGTAACCTGGATCACAGCTTAGTTCTGTATGTGCAGCTTCCTCATCAAATCCCAATGCACTTGAATTCATTGTATCTAGATTTCTATTTTGCAGGTATTAAAACAAAAGCAGAAAAAGGATCAGGGTCACAGTGAAGATCAGTACCTGACCCTTCCTAGCTCCCAGGTCTGTCCTCAGACCAAACCTCCAAAACCTGTCTAACACTGCTCCAGTGAAATATCCTGCCACTAAAACCTTGCACAAAACATCACTGAAACACACACCACAGTTTGCTCACCGTGATATACAGCCCAGCAGTGAAGAGGACAAAAGCCATGCTGGTGAGCAAAAAAGTAAGATGTAGGTAGGGACATCAACTAAAGTCTTGTTTTATACAGTTGCCCAATTCTGGAAGTCACCTTCAGCATTTCCAGCTACACTGATTTCCATGTATCAAGAGCCATTTCTTTATTTGCCAAACTAATTTGTTGGTGAGGATGTGAGGTACTGACAGCCCTTTTCACACTCAGTATGATGTAGGCAGGCACTGAACACAGCAGACTGAAAAAACAACATGGAAGAACATCTCCACCTTAAAGGTGCTATCTCACCAACAAAATATATAGCAGATCTGCATTGGCCCAGACCATTACTTTCCCTGGCAAGGACTTGGGGACAAAGCTCCTTAAAACAGTAGTAATCATATTCCACTCATGCTCCTTTTTACTGCCAGCTGTAAACTAGCTCCACATGCATCATGGTTTTGCATCAAAATGTGCACAGACCAAACCCATATCCAAAGGGACAAGGTAGATCGAATTTACAGCTTTGACAGGTCTGTGCACCCGAGGCAGAGCGTACAGGAAATAGCCTGACATCTCACTTGGAGAGCGGTTAAGACCCTGCTAGCAGAACTGGATGCAGAGCCACAACAGCCTCCCACAAAGACTCAGCAAAAGAACTGGAAATTTGCTGTCCATTTTTTCAAGAAACATGAGAGGCAGGAGGCACTCACCAAGGCACTACTGCAGAAAAGAGTCAAGTTTGATCCCAACTTACAACATCCCTTTGACAGGACAAGCCCAAGGGAAACCACAGGTGCACTGGGAAATTAACACACTGTATCAAGTCACATTACTAATGAGATACCACTCTGAAAACCCTTCAGCCTTTACTATATTCAAAACAAAGCAAACAGAAGTTATTCTGACCCAATGCATATATTATGACTACTCCTAAGAGGCCAATTGCTTGGCAAAGGAGGGTAAGAAGTCCAAGTTCTATCTATAGACTCAGAAACTCTGTTTGTTACCAACCCAATATTACTGGGTTTTTTTCTTTTTAGCAGTTTTCTAATTTAAATGGAAAATCTAGGCCCATCCTGCTGACGAAAATATATTTACTAATATGCTCTAAGCTACTATGGAAGAAACATCTACAGAAAAAAACTGTACTTCATCTGGATCTCTGTATGTCTCAAGTGGCAGGGCACTGGAAAATCTCTCTGAAACTGAACTCTTTGTGTCTCATCACACTACAGAGTTAACAACCAAGATAACTTCAACAAGATCAGATAGCATCAAACTATTGTTGTTCTCTACTTAAAAACACCATTATGTTGCATATATTTGTATAATTCCAACTATTATTTTCCTAAAGCTGTTGGCTACCAACAGCCTTTTTCCTTGCAGAATCAAACAAGGCTGCCATGAGTAGTCTACTAATGCAGGTTCCCAACCAAAAATTTTTAAACCCTCCCCAGTTCAGGTGGATGACAAGCATACACAACTTAAAGATGTTTTTGATAACACATGAATTGTCACTATTGTCACTTCCTTGATGGAAATCAGACTCCTTCATTTAATTTCAGTCCACCAAACGGTCCTGGCATTTCTCCTGAGAAAACAGGTGACTGGCAAGAGCCCTGGAGGACCAGCAACAGAAAGAAGGTGGGACAAATGAGAGAAAACGAGTGAGCCAGCACTGTGCTGTTTCCTTCCCACCTCTCAGAACAGCAGCAGCAACTTGCAAGGGGATAATTAACACGACCAACTATTTACCTGAGGATGAATCTGTGGTTTATCACACGTAGCCTCAAAATCCAGCACTAAGAAGTAGTGATATCTCTGTGGAGGGAAGGATGACATTGCTGCCATGGAAGCTCCAAAGCCGTGGGACGCCAGTTTCCTGCTTACAATGGAGCTGTACCCTTCGAGAACACCAGCCGGGAGCAGGGAGCACACAGCTTGTCTTGCCCTTGGAAGTAAGTTTTGGGGAAACTTTGCTGCTCCAGTATGGAGGAGTGCTATCATTGAACATCCAGAGGCATCTGAAACTGAAGATAGACTCAGGTTACTCATGCACACATACATCTCATCTCTGTTAGTATCTCTTCACTGTCCTCCTCTGACAGGGATTTCCTCTGTGCTTCCTGGTGGAAGTTCCAACTTCATAAACCTGAAATAACACAGTAACCTGCTCTAAGCACAACAGATGACATCTGGGCTGAGCTCAAGGTGTCCAGAATCACAGGCAACTGGAAATTAACCTCTGCAAACAGCTCTAAATTAAAAACTATGAGACACACAACAGTCATGGCTCCAGGCACCAGATCACACCCCCCTGCTGAACCTTATAGCAGGACACAGCACAAACCACTTAAACTACAGAAAATCTGATCTAAACCCCATTGAAATTTCTGAGGAGGCCTTTCGTCTTTTCATATACAACGCAACTTCTGATACATGGTAGGAATTAAATGCAGCAATACACATATCAACACTACAACCCATTCAAACAACTTGGCCCTGAAACACCTGATAGTTACACCAAAACCTCCCACTGCCATTATAAATCCTTGTGTGTGGTGGTTGAAAGGCTCCTCCCCAGGGAAGTTCTCATTTCCTCTGTGTACAATGTTTCTCAGAGATGTGATTCTAGTGCTACACTCAATTTCTTACTTTAGGTATTTATCAGAGGAGGGTATCAGTTCAGCAAATGCACACGTGAACTGCAGGGACTGCAGGAACTGTAAAATGCAAGCAGGACTCTATAGATTACAGTCTCCCTCCCAAAGAAATACCTTATGCAGCCATCACCTTCTGATGTTCTATTTAATAAATTATGTTATCCACGTGAGACTACCTGGATTTCCCCTCCTCCCCTTTTTCTTTTAGAACGTTGCAGGAAAAACTTGACAGGACTGTCACTGCCCAAGGTGGGTCAGCCTTGAGGCTGTTAATAGATTTATTGGGATGAGAGTTCAAGCCCAACTCACAGAGGCGCTGCAGAGCTGGGTACAGGTGAATTACAACAATCCAGTCCCCCTAAACAAGGATACGAGTACTCCCTCTAACTGTATACATATACACACCTTACTACATAGATACTTAACTTAAATCCACCTCCACTGTTGGTCCCACTGCTCACAGCTGTGGGCAAGAGCTCCATCGTACTACATGACACCCACCTGCCTGGTTTCTGAGCCCAGTCTCCCTGCGCCTGCACTCGCTTTTTGCTCCACTGTGAGACGTGGAGCCGAAACGGGCAAGGCAAAAGAGACAACTCGTCACCCATGAGCAAAGTAGCTGTTTGCACAAAAGACAGCGTTTGCTCTCTCCCATCCGTTAGTCCGTCAGGTAAATAATGCACGTGCCAAAACACACACTTAATGATGTAAATAATATGCCTTGAATAACGGCTAAATCTGTATTTACCTGCGAGACCAGAGAAACTCGGAAGGACCAGATTAGGAGATAATTGCGCCTGAGCAGGTTGTGTGCTTCGAGTAAACATGCATTTGGTAACCTTCCCTTTCCAAGGTTTGAGTGAAAGGCAAAAATCAAAGGAGATGAAATGTTTAAGACTGAACCAGTGCCCACACTGCCAATTCCATGGCGTAAATGCACCCTCCACCTTGTGGCTTTCATGTTTTTGGGAGCTGCTTGCTTTATTAAAGCAGTGTGCTAGAGAGGAGGTATCCAGAAAACAAAACTCAAGTTACAAATCCATAACAAAGAGCCCAACATCTCATTTATCCTTAAGGGGCTAGGTTCTACCTATTGCTTTTCCATCTACAAGCTTTTACTGTCATTAATAAATGCATTACAGCCAAATAGAAGTTAAGTTACATTCACTTTTGACCTGCCCCAGATAAGAGATATTTAAGGTATACGTGCTTTAAATCTTCAAGCTACTGGCTGTGAATCTAAAGGCCCATCACAGCAAATATAGTATCTCAGAATAAAGCAGCTTGTAAGTTAGTTGCGGTAAAACCTGGTCTTTAGCCTACCGCATAAAGTAAAATATACAGTTGGAGTGGGGGAGGCAGGCAGGCTCCAACCCCTGTATCAAACTCATGCAATAAAACATACATTATCCACCCACACTCAGCAAGATCAGTACTTCTCTAATGTATCTTAACCAGCAAGTCTAGAGGATCAGGCATGAACCCCATGAATCTTCAGGCTGGCCCACACCACACACAGCTGTGCAGAGGTTCCGGAGCCACTGAGTCCACATGGCCCAGGCAAACTGACCGTCTTGGCAGGATTTGAGCATGTCACCACGGGGCACAGCAGCACCACTCCAGACCCCTGCAGGTCTGTGTCACACAGGTACAGTGGGACATCAACAGAGGGAAGTAACAGTCAACACCTAGTGCCGGTTCACACTAACAACTTCTGATGGTTCATGTCTAACGGCAGGATCAGGCTCCCCATCCTAAAAGCAGCCTCCTCCCCACTCTCCTGTGTAGCAGAGGGAGCAATGCTCCAAAGGTGCATGAGCCAGGTATGGCATGCTGATTCCCCTACACAGACAGCATACAAATAAGAGCAACCTCACTGCAAACTCTGCACCTTCAGCCAAATGAAGTTTTAACTGCATGTTTACCCAGCCACTGCTCTAGGCGCCCTGGAAAGACCTCACATCATCTTCTATGGCAAGGTCAGAGTGCCTCAGAGCACAAGATAGCTGGTGAGCAAACACACTTTATTAGAAGTCATGTAAAGCATTTATAACAGCTATGACAATGCAAAGCACTAGTAATTATCCTGTATTTTTTTCCAACGGACAACAATGCAAGCAACACAGCTTCAAAAATTAGAAACCCAGCTCTATCCATATAAATCCACATGTTCAGTGATTCCATTTCCAAACCTACGTAAAACACCACATATCTATTTCTTACGCACACAGGGTCAGATTATAATCTCAGACAGTGCAAGCTGTCACATCTGGCATTCAACCCTGCTAGGTTAATATTTCATATCACACAGCTCCAATTCCTTACACAGATACGTGTGAAATGTAATGGGACCGTGAACTGAGGCTGGACCTCAGGAATTATTTTGACAGATTGTACACAGACCTAGGAAAACGTGACAGCACTTTACATTTGTAACACCCAATAACATGGGAAATGGCCACGTGTGGTGGATTTCAGCTGGAAGATAAAGTTCACGTTATGTGCTGTATAACAGTGTGTGTCACGTGACATAACTGACTATAATCAGCAACTGTCTTTTAAAAATAATTTTAAAAGAATTAATCTCTGGACATCAGTCACAAGTAACAGGACAACCTCAGGCTGACCACAGATCTTGTTTGTTAGTGGTCCAAGCACACCATACTAAAGCACGACAGTTTGATTACCAACAAGTAAGGAAAGTCACGAGAAAGGCAAGTGCCAGCTGTAGCCACCAGCTTGCCAGGGGCCCCACTGAGCATAAAGCAGAGAATCTGCACTGGTGGCTGTTGAGTACCAGGCTCCCCAGCAGGGAAGCCACTTAGGGGCAACCACAAGCAGCAAGAAACAAGACCGAGAACTCCTGCCACATGAAGAACACTGGTGACAAAAGCCAGCAGGGTATTGTAAGTGCTCTCCCCCACCCACAGGACAGTCCCAAAGCCACATACAGAAACATACACCATGCAAGTTGCAGAGGATTCAAATTTATCAATGGTGAGACAAATTGGCCTACAAACTTGAGCTTAATGGGCTCTTTGCATATGAATATTTACTTTCTACACCACATCTAATGAAAATCACCTGTTAGCAAGAGAAGGCATAACTTTAACAGTTTGCCTTTAAACCAGAAATGTTCCCCTTCACTGTCCAATTTTATAAGCTGTTGTAGGGAAGGGGCAAGACAACAAACACCTACATTTAGGTTGGAGGGGTGACCCAACAAATTGCATGTTTTGCAAGAGCCTCCATTTAAACCGTAAATCACTGTTATGGCAATATGGCCTTCCATCATATTAAAAGAAACCCCGCACTAATCTAAATGACAAGACAAACAAAAAATAAAAAATAAAAGCAAGCAAGCTTTGGGAGTCATATGCTTCAGTTTATTCCCTGCGCAAAGCCTGCGTAGGAGCAGCTGTGATTCCTGGCCTCCAACAGACAACTGAACTCTAGGCTAGAGCAACCAAAACCAATCCAAAATCTAAGTCAAGTTTGTCTTATTACAGTGTCTTATTTTATTAAATTATAAAAAGAGTAAAAGGGTAATAAAGATGCTTTTTGTAGAACAAAATTGCATACATTTAGCAACACCTGGAACAGAGTATAACAAAAAATGCAGGACTTCCATTTTGGTAGCTGTTCAAATGCATATTCAGAGGTCAAATGTGAGCTCATATTTCAGTTGTGTGAAGATATAACTGAAGAACAATAGAGATAACTCCATTTAAAAAAAAAAAAAATCAGCCTTAACCTAAATCCAAATATTTCATTAGATCAACTACAGTCCAAAAATGACAGCACCTGGCCAGCCTGCGAGTCAGGAAACAAGAGACTATAAACAAAACCAGCTTATACACAGTCACCATCCAAAGTTGAAAAAAACCCCACCATAAAGTAAAATAAACAACAAAACACAAAGCTTTTAGAACTGTTTTAATAATGTAATAATTTTAGACAGGTAAATTTGCTTCTTTAATTTGTTAACTTCATAATATCTTTCCTTGAACATGAATCCTGTACACTTTCATGGTTGCAATCCTTTCACTTTAGGATTGGGTTTGTCTCCAGCACTGCTAGACAACCAAGCCCGTGTCTTGGAAAATTTGTAACATGACTTTCCCAAAGCATTGCCACGGGATGCCTATATGCTGTCCCATCATTACTCAGCGCAGATACAACTTGGCATCAATTATTTTGTTTTTACAGCACTCTGCAATCGCACCCAGCCTCTTCCCACTACAGATGAAGAGGTCCCTGTTCTCAAGAACTTACAGTCTAAAATTAGATGCAATACAACAAGTAAGGGTAACAGCAGAGAAGAATGAAGGTTACAGGAGCAGAGTCAGGCAACCGCTCATCTGACAGATACGCGCATCTTGATAGCTCAATTAAAAAAAAAAAAAAATCACTCTATATAGGCATCAGCTTCCCTCTGTATGGCCATTATGCAAGAGGTAAGTGAACATGGAAAGGGCTGACTAAAGGATAGAAAACCACTCTTGGGTTAAGGAAGATCTCTCCCGTTTCTTGAGCACATTCTTCCCGCTGCGTTTCTTGGCTGATATGTCAAAGGCACCATCAGATATGTCAGCTATGTCAGAGCATCAGAATCTCTTCCATTGTGACATCACAGACGCGATGGCTTGTGAGATCACAATGAGCAAGGCCGAAGGCGCCGATTACTTAGGGAAGCACTTGCTGGGGCTATCGCACCCTATGAGGCTGGGAAACAAACACATCTCAGTTCACTTGACAACACAGTGAAACCCGCACAACACCACACCGGCAGGATGCGAACTCATCCAAAGAGACCACCCAGAAGCTGTCCCAAAGATGCACAGTACAATTCCACACCAATTTTATTAGGCCCCCTCCACTAAGCAACCACTTTCATCAGCTCCTTGACTGGTCTCCTAAGACAGGCTTTGCTGTGTATTTTTTAAACCTTCTCCGAGAGCAACCGTGGATAGGCAAACAGGTCTAAGCTGGAGTCTGAAGAAGTTCCATACAGTAAAGGACTGGTCACTTAGAGGAAATGTAGAGGAAGAAAAATAATACAAATTAAAACAAAGAAGCAACAATAGAAATGCATACAGCAAAAGGCTGGAAAGCTGCAGTGGAAAAGCAGATTTGGTATTAAGGAAAAGAACTGTTGCAGAGGATCGGACCAAGATCCCCTAGTCCAGTCTCCTGCATAGGAGCCATAAGAAAATGCACCAGGGTGAAGCTACACAAAACGGGGTTAACCAAGCCAATAGCTTTGGGAGGCCAAAAGGAGGCAGGCCTGTCCTTCCCTCTCCTTCTTACTCTACTGCTGATTTCCTTACACCAGTTTCTGAGCTTGTCTGGCCCCTCTGTGAGCCAACTCAACCACAGGAACCTATAAAAGGATTAATGCAGCCAGAATAAAACACAATTAAAACAAGATAGTTTCCTGATGGTTTAGTGAGACGAATCAGCTTGGGGCCAGGCTGGATGAGTACCAAAGCTCAAAGGATAGGATGGGCCCACACTGGCAGAATTGGGAAGGAGATGTGCCCCTGGGAGCTGTTGGTCAGCTCAGTTGCTCACCAAACCATGTACTCAGACCAGGACAGGTACACCTGAGATGGTGTGGCACTTTGCAGAAAACGAAGAAGGTATCTTGGCTGTAACAGCATCAACACATAAAACTTGAAGTCAAAAAGCCCACTGGACTATCCTGTCTGAACCTCATGTAATGCTGGCTGTAAAGTTTCCACTTCATTACTGCTGAATTGAGCCCAAAAGCTTGAACATCTTTCAGAAAAGTTTCTGGCCTTGAATTGCAGCATCAAGTATGGAGAGGCTCCCCACTACCTTTAGACAGCTTGTTGCAACGGCCAATCCATTCGCTGTCAAAAAATAACACATCTTAGTTTTCATTCAAACTTTCCCAGCCCTGGTCTTTGGAGCAAGTTCTGAAATTTATGGTATTTCAGTGCTCTCAATCCACAGCAGAGCTCCCAGAGCCAGGAGTAAGAGCTCTGTAGCTACTACGCTTCTAGTCAGTAAAAGCTACTATTGCATATTGGCCTAATTCACTGGAAAGAGACAGAGCAGGCCACCCTTTAATAGAATCTAGCACACATAATTGCTTGATTTTCATACACATGAATGCCACAGTTGTTCAATCCACTTATACAGCCAAACACCTTCGTTATCCGAAAAATGAACTTGAAGGTTTAACACCTAAGAGCGACAAATGAATCTCAGTCTGGATTCAGGGAGACAACACTTGTATTGCTCAATACACTGGTTACTTTCAATCTTCACAAATGAACTCCAGAAGTGTTGAAAGAAAGTCTGTACCCTGCCAAAGCTCTGTCCTGATAGGCAAATGCCCCAAGCAGGGTAATAGCTACAATGGGGCATGGTTTCCATATCATGCAGTCTCAGTGAGCCTGGAAAACCAGCCAGGGAATGTGTTGACCCCAATATTCAACCACAGAAAAAATAATGACTGTAACAAATACAGCTGAATTTTTTTTTTTTTTTTTTTGTGGAGGAGTGAAGTATCTTTATCTGCACAACATATCTGGAGAGAATACAACTTCTCAGGTGGCATTTGGCCAGCACAAGTAACTTCTCTTAAGGGAAAGAAAAAGTTGGCAAATGGTATCTAGCAGCAACAGCCAGCACCTCTGCTCTATGTTACGCTCAGAGAGACACAACTCTTCCTCCCCTCATTTCCCTGTGCCATTGCACCATGCTGGTATATTAGCTCAGCACTACCAGAATAAAACACCAAGAGTCTCTGTGATGACCATTTCTAGCAATAACACATGCTTCAGATCAGGGACAGACTTGTGACAAATGCATAGTGGCTTAATAGCCTTCAGTGTTCTCCTGCAAGTAAAGCCACAGTGGCCATTCCTACACCCTTTACCTGAACTTCACCAGACCTGTGCTCTACAGTCTTGTGGCCCTTTACTGGAGGTGGGTACTAGAGCAATACAGGAGCAAAATCAAGTGCAAAAACTTCACACATTTAAGTCTCTTCCAGAACTCCCACTTCCAAAATTTAAGGGGGAAAAAAATAACACAAAAAAATAAAATCAACCTATCAAAGTTAACAGAGCCAAAACAAGATAAGCACCCAACCAGCTGTAATCAGGCCTCCTAAATGAATCAAACTGTAGTATCTTCCAACTGCAGAGCAGAAACTTTATCAGTGTATACTCAATTCAAGGCCTTCTTTATTTAGCATCAAGTACACAAACATTTTCTTTTAAATGTTTCAACGGGTTTCTTTTGGATTTTGGTAACACTCAAATCTGTCTGGCTATGCACACTAACTTTAAAAAAAACAACAAAAAACACCACACACAAAAAAAAAGCCAGCACACTATTCATGTAGAGCAACCCAAAGCTTGAGATGAACAAGAACCATAAAAGGGCCACTCTTTGAAACAACACAAGCATTTAGACCACACTGTAAATTAACATGAAAATTCAGTGGCAAAGGCCAGAATTCAGTACTTAAAAAGAGAAACAAAAATATCTGAAATCAAATTTCCCAAGCCCACACACTGAAGAGTAACCAACTGGCCTCCTAACACATTACTTATTTTAAGAATAATTCATTCCTAGAAATAAAGTTCAAATGCCAACTTTAATATTAAGTGATATGAGATGCTACAATGTTGCAAAGAGCAACTAAAGGATAAAATAAACTCAAGTTACCATTAAAAACCAAATAAAATCCTCAAACAACTGTCTAGCAGCATCTGATGGGACAAATGCTTTGAGATGTACCTACCCAAAGCCCCACGTACCTCAGCCTTTCCAAGGCACAGTGCAAATATTAACCTATTAGAAAACTTGCTGGTCTATTATATCACAGCTGGAAAGAGTATTAAGAGTTCAGACTAAGCAGCAACTGACAACCTACCCATTTCTGAAACCAAAGCTCAAAAAGGAAAAGAGGTAAGTAAAGAAGTAGTAAAACAAATGTCAGACTTATTAGCAAATGACCATGTAAATCCAGCAGACACAGGACTTGTAAAAGACAGCACATGAGGAGTAAATGACAACACCTTTTCATATGTCTCAGTTTAGAAGAAACACCTGTAACAGTACAGCAGCAAGAAAAGAACTGAAGAAGAAATCCCTACTGCCAGTCAGGAAACAAGTATACAGATCCTGCACTTCTAAGCCTTCACAAGTTTACTTCAGTCTCAAAATCTGAGACTGGTCACCAATTCAATCTCATAGGATAAAAATATAGGAAAAAAAAAAAAATCAAACCTCCTACTCCCCCATCACCTCCGTCTATAAGCCTCCACATCCCAAGAGGAACATGAAAAGTCCTCGTTGCTGCAGCCTCCTGCTCACACCGCGTGTGCCCCCGCTCCCTGGACAGACAGGTTTTTCCCTTCCTCAAGCCCTAACACCGACTGATCCCGCTCCAGCTGGGACCTGGGGTCCGCTGCCACCGCCACCCTCGAGACTTCCACCCAAGGCAGAGCTCGGGGAGCAGTGGGCCCGGCAGCCCTCAGCTCTGGCAGAGAGAAGCCGGGGCTCGGCGTCGAGCGGACGAGGCGCCGCCACGCCTGTCCGCCA